GAATGCCTACTCATGTACCACTCCGTGTACTTGCAACTGATACAGTTTTGGATGATACACCTTTGATTCGTGCACTACTGGAATCCAGTAACTGGATCATCTTACTTTGCTCGGTACAGCATCATATCTTACATACAGCATCACATCAGTGAAATAGTGACATACTTCCATATACAGTCTCGCTTCGTACTGTCTGCACGTACCACGTGCAGTGTCCGGTTATTGTCAGCGAACACAGTGTAAATCAGTACATTGCTATGTCAATGACATAATGTCATGCATGCATGTCTAGTACTCTGCAAATCCCTACGCCATATTCTCGTGCAGCTGTGACTGGTACACACTACTTCATAAATCATTAAGTTCGTACGTGTTTTATTTCGTAAAACTCTGGCTTTGTACAGACGAAAATTTTTTGATACGATATTTTGCGCTGCGCGAAATATCGGGGCAAACATTTCTCGCGTGTAGTAGTAAGACTATTGCACTCAGCCTTAGCATACTGTGTTCATGTAACTTGCATGTACAAGACGTGCGCTTTTAAGAAACGTCTGGCGTCTCGTCTCCCCTTTTATTGCAGTCTACTTATTACTCATCTTTTACGCTTTACACTAGACCAACCGGTTCTGGTTGTGTTAACCAAGTATGACTCCAAACCCTAAGAGAGCACGCGTCCGTTCAAGCCACGACGTGCTTGGCGCGCGCACTGGTGCGTCTATCTTGCTCTGTCACTCCTTCATGCGTCCCCACTCATCCCTAATAACACTACCTTGGTCCCAACCTGAATCTTCAGGTAGTACGACTGGAGCCAATACTATTCACTCGTTCTCACATACAAATTTTTCGTCAAGAGCTCTGGTTAATCGTATTCAGAGCTCGATGCGCGCCGCTCTACTTTTCTTCTCTGCATATCGTACTATTTCACATACTGAAATAGTCTGGATACTGCACGAGTTGAAAATGTACCAGTGGCGATTGTACGAGATCTAACTGCGTCAAATTCAGTTGCTTTGCGTGCCACTCTATGAACAGAATCTGTATGTAATGACACTGTACGAGCTGGCCCTGTACCAAGTGCAACAGGACTGAACGACACCAAATCACCTGACATAGACTCAATTGAAACTGTACGAGTTGACACTATACGAGCCACAACTGTACGAACGCCACAACCTTGAACTGCGTTGTATCGATAAGCTCGGTACCAATATGAATACTATGTGCGAGGAGGTTCTGAAAGGTTGTGGTTCTAGTGAATGTAAATCACACGCAGCAGTCGGACGGCAGCAGATGAGTCGCAAAGGGTTGAGCCTTGAAGTAGGCAAATGTGCTTGTTTATAATATTTTCAAGTTATCGCGAACGGTTCGCGAAACAATAGGCAAAGTCGTCATGACAATCGTTCACCCAAAACCATTGCGAGGTATCAACCCTAAGAGCTCGAATACAATGGTCACCCCGCTTGACCCAACGCCACACAGACATAAGAGTACAAAGCTTATTTTATTCGGCAAGTGACTAACTCCGACCGTTACATCATTACTATGTCCCCGTCAGTGATTCTTTCGTATCGTGAGTTATGACTTGTAAGTGCTTGATTCACTGCTGACGCACCACCGGATCTCATCAACTTCGGATTTGGCTTGATAACGAGTGGCGCAGACCCTATCTTTTCACTAGTTGCCCTGTACTAACGACTACTGCCCTTTCCCGCCACTTCCTGGCAA